GTGCCCCCGCGGCCCCCCCACTCCACACGCCATCCTGCCCTGCCCTGCTAGCACCACCTGCTCTGCTGGGATCCACCAAAATCCCCCCCTGGCTCCAGGCATCATTCCTGGCAATTCCCCTCCATGGCTGGTGAAGGCCAGGGCTGCCCACACAGTTGGCCGTCACTTCACCACCACCCTGCTGCTCCGCAAGGCTGAGCCGGCCCTGAAGTGCCACGCGGCACCAGGGACGCAAACAGGGAGGGTGGGGGAGATGCACCACGGGCCGTAGCAGGACAGGCGGAGGCAGTCAGGATCTGGCCTTGTAGCTCTGCATGTCTCCAGCTGGATGGATGTACTCAGCCCACGGGTGAAGGACAGATGAACCACAGACCCACCTTCCCCCTCCCTGCCCGCTCTCCTCCCAGATGATGCACAGATCCAGCCAGCCGCCCATCCTTGACATTTTCTTCCCTGGCTACAGACAGGCTCCCACCCTTTCTCTCCTTCATCTTTCCTCTCTCAGCCCGGGTGGATCTGCCCCGGACCTCTCCTCGCTGCCGGACGCTGCCTCGAAGCTCCCACACAGGCAGCACCTCTGCCCAACCCCAAACATGCAGCATCTCCTCCCCGGGGAGGCACCAAGTGCCCCACAGCCCGGAAAGGCTGGGGGGCAGCCAAGGCACAGCAGCACCACTGCCGGCAACCTTGCACCCCAGCTGCAAGCCTCCCAGCTCCCACCACCCCCAGCAGCCCCAACACCACAACCAGCTGCACCCTTTAAACCTTTCCAAACGGGGCAGCCAGATTTTGGGGGCACAGGGGGACCCCAGCCACCGAGACGGCAATGGGGACGGCCTCCAAGCCGTGTCCCCCCTGCCAGAGCATGCGCAGCACCGGCTGGGCTGCAGACTCCTGTTTTTCCAGCTCCCCGACGAGGTTTCCTGGAAGGGCCCGTGAGCAGCGTTAAACACTTTCTTTTGGAGGAAAAAATGACTCTTCCCTGGCGGGGGGCCAGGCAGCTGACTCAGGGACGGAAGACGGCCCTAACACGATAGTGTGAAATCAGAGCGCTCCTATCTGCGAGCAAAACACTTCCGAAAGCCAGCTCCGAGTCGGGGACAGCTTAACCAGTCCCATGCCGCTGCACCCGTGCCCCAGCAGCTCCCGCACTGCTGACCCCGGCGAGGGGGACCATAAAGCAGAGGGGGGCAATAACACCCAGCACATGTCCTACCAAGTCAGGGCCCCCTCCTTGCCGCTGATTTTCCACTCCCAAATCCCGTCCGGCAACATCCCAAGAAGGCAGTCGAGCCCCAAAGCCCCCCCTTGGCTTGAAGATGCCCCAGGACCGCGCAGCAAGGTCCTCTCTGGGCACTCGGTGCGGGAAAGGATGAGGTCCACGATTTCTCCCAGAGACTTAGAGCTCCTTCACCCAGTCGTATAGCCAGGAACCGACAGTGTTTGACTCTGCAACACCTCCCAAACAGGGGAAAAGGGAGAGGGAGGGAGGGAATCCCTTCCCGTGGAGGGAGAAAGGAAAAAGCAGCGTGTCCAGGGGCAGCGTCAATGCCAGAGGGGCCGAGACATTGCCTGGAGCCAGGCCGTCGCCCAGCCCTCGTGTCCGATTGCAGCGATGGGTACTGGCCGGTCCCGGGAAACAGGGCAAGAGCCAGGGTGGGGGTTGGGATAAATAGCACAGGGGAATAGAAAGGAAAAGGGAATAAACAAATATAAATGAAAGCACGTGGCGTCAAGGGAGAAAATAGCTGGGAAAGGCTTTAATTAGACTATGGGCTGGGCACCATCCCACGGCTGGGAGAAACATCTTGAAAGCAGGGTCAGGATGGGGCACAACACGGTTCACAGCAGAGCCCCAGCACCACATCCCACCTTCCCTGGACCCTCCGGCCAGGCGGGGACATGGGGGTCTGGTGGCCCCCACCCCAAGAGCAGTACCGGGGTAGCAAGCAAGGAAGGGGCCGTGACACCTTCACCATCAGCCAGGCCCTCATCCCACAGCTGCTCTGCCCCACACCTGACTGCCCACCCTGTCCTCATCCCCACGCGTCCCCTGGGCTCTGATGCCAAGAGCCAAATCCTGCTATTCCCCACCACTTCTGGGCCCACCCCCCCGGGCCACGCTATCACTCATATGGCCATCCATTGCTTGTCACCTGAGAAGTTGAATAAAATCCCCAAAAAAAGACCAAGGGAAGGGGGGACAGGCTGCCTTAGCCGAAGCAGCCGTCCCCAGAGCAGCAGGCTCCCAGGTCCCCGTTTGCAAAGCGTTTGCAGCTCCCAGCAAGGTCAGATTTCGTCCCCGAAGGTCAGAGCAGCTCCAGCCTGGCAGGCTGTGCCACCCCAGCGTGGGTTGGGTTTGCCCAGGGCTCAGCCCCAGACGCAGCTCTGCTCTGGCTCTATCTGCTCCAGCTGTATCGAGGCAGCTGGGGGAAGCGCTGAGCCCAGCCTGGTCCCACCCCTGCTGCCAGGCTCGCTGCCCCGGCAGGGCAACCCTCTGCCCTCTCCCCTCCCAGCACCCTGCGGCTATGCCCAGGAGAAAAACTGGTCCAGGGCACGCATGACAACGGGAAGGGGGGTCAGCTTGCATCCCCAAAATCCCAGCCATCTGCCTCATGCCCAGCGGGCTGCACCATACAGCATCGCGCACCAGCACAAATCCTGGCCGGGGCTCTGCACCAGTGTAGAGGATAAGGCTTGGGCACCATCATGTCTCCCCTGGTCATGCCCCTAGCAGCATCCCACCTGCTGCCTCCACTCCCCACCACCCAGAGCCCTGGCCCCAGGGCACCTCTGGAGCATCAGCCAGCAGGGAAGATCCTGGGGTCACGGGACCCTTTGTAGGATGAAGGATGTGGGCTGAGTCCCATGGGGAAGAGCTCAGCCCCCCAGCTCTGGTTTCATTCTGTGCCCAGTTATGATGGCAAGAAGTAACCCCAGCCCCTGAGCCGTGGGTCACCACGGCCATGAATTCCCTACCCACCCCCAGCCCTTTCCCCCATCCCATCCGGCTCAAAGAAAAGCAAAGTCAGGACTTACCAAAGGGGATGGGGAAGAAAAGATCCCAGGCGAAGAGAAGGAGCGGGCAGCAAAATCCCTTTCCTTCGCCCCTTCCAGCACCAGAGCCTTCCAGGGGGACCTGGTGCGGTGGCAGCTCAAACGGCGTCCGCGGCCGGCTCCGTGTGTCCGTCCAGGACAGGAGCTGACGGCCCGGAGCTGGCTTTGGTTGGCGTTTGTCCCTTTGGCTTTGCTTTCCCTCTCACAGAGGGAGCTATTCCCTCCACAGCGCCATGTCCCACGGGGCCAGCGAGAGGGGCACCCCAACGGCAGCAGGGCGCCGGAGGAGCTCGGATACGGGGTACCCCCAGGACATGGGGCGCCGGAGGGGAGGATGGAGGAGACGAAGGCAGCAGAGGCAGGAGATGGGCTGGAGGAGAGGAGGTGCGGTTGTGCTCCCGTCCGCCCCAGACCACACAGGGACGAGCGGGGAGGGGAAGGGGAGAGGCAGCTGGGGGCCGCCCAAGCCTAAGCCCCAGCCCGGGTTAACCCCAGCGAGGTGCGGGGAGGGTGAGAGCCATAGAGGGAGGACAGCCAGACAGACAGCTCCTAGCTATGAATATTAACTACTTCCTCCACAAGCAGGGCTGCGCCGTGTTAACTGTTTCCTAGGCACGACAGACAGACGGACGGACAGCTGGACAGCCTACCCACCCCGCACTGGGTGCTGAGCATCACCCCGCTGGATGACCCCCTCAGTTTGAGACCCCTGGTCCTGCCCAGCGCCTGTGTGCACACGTCACACCTGTCCCCAAAAAGCAGTGACACAATCAGGGTGGGGATGTCCCTTCAGGCCACACGTGATGCTGTAACCCAGCCAGGCCTGCAGACCCAAATGTCTTGCTGGAGACTTGAGTTTCCCCATCTTAAATAAATACGCAGCCAAAGAGGAGTGGAAACCCACCGTGGCCGAGCCATTGACCCCGCCAGCGCCAAACCCGACCCATTTTCACAACCCCCTTTCCCTGCCCCACCAGCACTGCGGCACGGCATGGACATGCCAGTACTGGTTTCGGGATGGCACGTGCCGCCCTGTCCCGTGGCAGGAGGCATGGTATGGATCCCGTCCACCCCAGAGCCACCTGCAACTGTGCTGCTCCATCCTGGGCAAAATCCGTGCTGGGATGGTGCTGACAATTTGCTGGTCCGGGTGACAGCAAGCCCACCCCGTGTCCAGGCCCCTGCTTGAACCCATGCTCAAGCATATACTCCTCGATTGATCCAACATACTCAGCAAAACGCGAGGCTCCTTCCAGTCTAATCCCCCAAATCGTGCGTTTCCCACACCCTCGCAGATGACGGCAGGGGATGAGAGCAGCGTTTCCAGCCGGCCCCCTGACTCACAGCCTCGTTTGCTCCCAAATAGTGGCACACGCCAAGTCAGCATCCTCCGAAAACCTCCGAGGTTTGCTTGCTTCTCTGCCTTTTTATTTTCTGCCCCAGTTGTGCAGCTGCAGGCAGCCTGCAGGAGGGCAGGCTGAGAGCTCCCCGCTCCAGCCCGGCTGCCCGGGGACAGCCCCAGCCCCACGCACACACACTCCGGCAGGTTTTGACTTCAAGGACGGTTTAAAAGGGGAAGAGAAGGGGCTGAGCTTCCACCAGCCTGTCCCTCTCTCCCTGCATCCCAGCCCTGCCTGGTTCCCAGTCCCAGCGGGACCAAACCCTATCACCCCCCCCACATCACAACCCCAAATACCAGGTCAGAGGACAGACCCTGCCCTGGGAGCAGCCACGCTCCAGCTGAAATGTCTAGCCAAGCCCGTAGATGCTCCAGCATTTCTCCCATGGAGAATAACCAGAAGCAAGAGGGAGACGCTCCCTGTGGATCCCCATCCAGCTCAGCCGGGTCCCCGCTGCCCCCCGAAACGCCTGCCCCGCCAAGCCCTTACCTTGCCGCGGCCAGAACGGAGAGTGGCAGAGAGGGGCGGGATGGGGAGGGGGAAGCGGATTCCTTCGGCTTTAGTCAGCTGGTGAAGGCGCCTTCCCTTCGGCTTTAGTCAGCTGGGCGAGAGGAGAGCAGCAGCCCGCCGGCAGCTCTGGCGATGGCTTTAACCGGACTGGCCCGGCCCCCCCCCCCGCCCCCCCGCTGCTGAGCCCCGGCAGGGGACGGATCCAGCCGCGGGGGGGAGAGCAGCAGCCCGCCGGCAGCTCTGGCGATGGCTTTAACAGCTCCGGACTGGCCCATTTGACTCCCCGCCTCTGCACAGCCTGGCTCGCCCTCCTGGGCAGCCTCAGCCCCAGATAAGTGGGGCAGGATTTGACCCCACTAGGGAAGATGTACCCCACGAGATGCCCACCCTCCTGGGGGACCAACGGATGACAGCGACCCCATCTAGGGGCTTGCTGCCCCACAGAAAGGTGCAGGACCATCATCCAGCTCGATCTTGGGGGCTTTGGGACCCCCCAGCCTTTGCCACAGGGTGGGGGTCAGGCTCTACCGTGACCTCCCATCCCCGGAGGGGTGGGATGCTCATCCTGCTCCCCACCCCAGCCAGCCCTGCCCCACTGCACGGGGCTGAGCTGCAGGGGAGCCCCGCGCCAGAAGCATGACTCAGGTGGGGATTTAGCAAGTCTCCTGCAGATGTTGGACTTGGCCAGGCCCCAGCCACCCCCCTTCCAGCCCCGGTAAAAAGGGGGGGCAGGCAGGGCCAGGGATGGGGACAGTATGGAGGTGGGAGACAGGCAGGAGGGGTGGATGCTGGGTGCAGTGGGACGAGCTGGTGGGTCCAAGGGACAGCCAGTACGGGGAGCTGCTGGGTCAAGGACACATGCCTAGCCCTTTTGCATTCTCTCGCACCACCCCAGGATGGCAGAGCCCATTGTTTCCCCACCATGGTCACACATGCAGACCCTGGGGACAACCCCTCCACCAGCTCCATGCCAGCCCCAGCACCCTGTTCTCCATCAGCACTGGTTTTCTCAGCAAAACCAAACTAGACCATAGATGTTCCCCATCCAGCTTTGCCCACCTGCTTCTGCAGTACCCCAAAAATTTTCTCTGCAGCAATCCTCCAACCAGCTGCAAACCCAGAAGTGCCACATCCAGCTGCAGGTCTCCTCCTGCCTCCCTGGAGCCAGCCTGGCCCCCCGAGGAGAGCCACCACAGTGCTGGCAAAGCATCCTTCATCCACCCAGGATAGGGGACATCTGAACCCCCAAAACAGCCAAAGGAAGAAGCACCCCATCACCACTCTTCAGCCTCCAAACACTCTCTCAGCCAACTGGTGGCTATGGGGACCACAGCGGGAATCCACCATGCAGCCAGCACCGACCACAAAGCCCTTTCGAGGAGGAGGAAGGATGGCAGGCGAAGCCATGAGCCACTTGGGGATACCGCTCGCCTCCCCCATGCCGCATGGGGATGGATGACAGGCAGTGGGACGGGTCCACAGGGGTATTCCAGCATACCCCAGTCTCACAAAGGACCACAGGGCAGCCCGAGCCTGGCAGGCAGCAGGGATCCTGCCTGGGTAAGGTAGGAAGGTGAGCTCACCGACAGGGCCAGCCTGTGCTGTGGGGGTGGTTTGCAGAGCAGCCCCTGCTTGCCACACCCAGCTGGGTTCCTTCCTGGCCAGAGGGCGAGATGTGGGGGTTCAGATCCCCCTCTCATGCCCCCTGCCCTCGGCGAGCTTGGTCAGCTGGCAACCCTGCTGCGACTCAGTTTCCCCTTTCCCAAGCCCCCACAGATAAGCACAGCGGATGCGAGGGTAACACCAGGACAGGCACCATCCCTAGCAGATCTCCTGGTGGATCCCCAGCCATCCACCTGCCCCTCTGGCTTCGGGGTCCCACGGGGTCACCCCCCACGCTCTCAGGCACCCCCCCAGCCCAGATAGGTGCCCCACGCTGAGCCAAAGACACCAGAGAAAGGACATCCACCCCCACCGAGAGCGGCTGTGGCCGGCAGAGACGCGGCACAGGGGGGACCCACCATTTGGCAGGCGATCCCGATCCTGTCGGCCTGGGCTGTGGCGCCGGGCTGCAGGAAGCCTTCGCTGAGCAGCAGGGACAGGCAGTGGCAGGGATGAGGAGCGGTGGCTGATCCCACCCCGGCACGGGTCCCCGTGCCAGCCTCACCCCCCTCCACCTCCAGCCACCGCTCGCTCGCGCCTGGTGGTGCCAAAAATGTGGCATGCAATTCCCTGACCAAATAAGGCGAGAACAACCATAAACAGGGACCCCCCTCGCACAGTCGGGCACTGGGGTCCCCATCCCGGCCTGGGGCGGGCTGGAGAAGAGGGAAAGTGCCGACAGAGAGGGAGGAAGATGGAGCCCCCCGAGCCCACATTGGCTCTCCCCGCTGCTGCTCAAGGTGCCCCATGGGGCGGCCGGGGGAAGACCCCCTATAGATGGGCTGTCTCACAGCTGCCTGCGCTGGCACAGGTCAGAGGGCAGCCTCCTGCCTGCAGTCCCGGTTCATCCCCAAACCGGGGCAGTGTTTGCAAATTCAAGGTGCCCTTGTTCCCCATCACCACCCTTCCTGCAGGGAGGACAGCCCGGCCGGCACATGGAGGGACCTCCACAGCCCCACTGAGACCCCCAGAAGGGGACGGAGAGGAGCCCTGGGGTACCTCCACAGCCCTGCAAGGGACTGGGAGTGCTGTGGCTCTGCCCCAGGGGTCAGAGGGGAACACACGTGCACCAAGGCACTCGGGTCTCTGCAGGCAGGAGGGGGCTGCCAGCCAGTCCTGCCAGCTCAGGGCTGAGATGTGAGGGCTGAGCCATGGTCTGAGCTCACGGTGGGGACACACGTCTCCTTCCCTCGGGGCCAGACCCACAGCCCCCAGCTCCCCACTGCATAGCTGAGCCCGCGCATCACGAGTTGCCTGTTTACTGCCCTGTGCCAAGGCAGGCACCCGTGCCAGCTCCGTGCAGCCACCCCGGGTCCGATCCCATGTCCCCACCATGGGCAGAGACCCCCTCACCCACCCCAGGCACCTAGAGCCCCCACCCTCCCCAGTGAGCCCGGCCACCCACAGCTCCCACTCAGAGCAGCTGGTGACCTTCAGGGACGTCGGGGACCGCAGCTGTCCCTGCTCCAGGGACGCTTGTCCAGACTGGGCCAGGAAAGCTCAGGCATCTGCTCAGCCACAGATGGCCTCACCGCCGGGACGGGAGCCCACCACCCTTCAACACACAAGTACTGCCTGTTCCTGCCAAGCAGGCGAGGGCAGCCAACTCGCCGCATCCCAATGGTTGCCCAAGGGGCTTTTCCCAGCTCCGAGCAATGGTGCGGACCCTCCAGGGCCAGTGAGGCATCCTCATCCCCCAGGGGAAACTGAGGCACAGCTACATCCCGCCATGCTTGCACCGTGAGAAAGGAGCTGGGAGACCTAATGGTCCCCCCGTTAGGTCCCACTCCCGACAGACTGGGGGTTTGGGTTTCCCAAAGCTCTGGGGCATGAACCAAGGCTGGACCCTGCTCCATGCAAAGAGGGCTTTGAGAGCAAAAGCACCGAAAAAAGAGCCTGAGCTCCCTGGCACCGCCGGCAGGAGGGAAAGTCCACGAGATCTTCCTCTCCCATCCCGTGGCCACGCTCCTCCAGCAGCAGCTGCCTGCCCCCAGCTCTGCTGCCCACCGGTGTCCCCTTCCCTGGGGTGGGGGGGATTCCCATGGGGACAGTTTGGCCACCGACCACCCCGTGAACCCTAACCTTTCTCCAGGTGCTTGCCGGGCAGGGGTGGCTCAGCCCAGGCACCCTCCGCGCTGTCCTCGCGCTGGATGTTGAAGTTCTCATAGGAGTCCCACCGGATGAGTGGGTCGGACGTGTTGTAGTCCACGGAAACGCTGGGCCCGTTCTCCAGGTGCTCCATGCCTGGGAAAAGGCAGGATGGTCAGTTGGGGTGACGATGGAGCCAGTGCGGACAGGATGGAGGGAGGAGGTGAAGAAAAGGTGCAGGCAAGGGAAAGAGGGCAGGAACCATAGGGCAAGACAGGACAGTCACGTAGGAACGGGGGCACCGAGAGGGATGGATGGGCATGGGAGGTACATCAAGACCCACAAACAAGGTATACAGGGCTGGCCGGGGCTTTTGGGATTGCCTAGGGACAGGCAGACGGACTGACAGCGAGCATGCCTAGGGCGGGACTTTTTGGGGTGGGAGGGTCCTCCATTCCCAAGCACCCCCTCCCTCTCTCCCCAGCCAGCAAGTGCTGCAGCGAGTGGCCTCCCAGTGAAGAGAACGAGGACCATGGGGCACCCATGGATGCTCCTAGACCAGCATCACTGCCTGGACCCCTCGTCCCACCCTGGTGATCAAAGGACTGCAAATGGGGCAGCAGGAGGTCGCAAGGGAGGCAGCAGGGGATAGAGCTGGGGGGCAGGAAAGGAGCCAGCATCCAGCTCCGAACCTCCATGGCAGTGAGCCAGCCATACCTTGGATCTTCTCAGGGCCGTAGGAGAACACGAACTCCACCTTCCCGTACTCGGGGAAGCGGTCATCTGGAACGGAGAGAGCAGAGCAAAGGGACCATCTCGATCCATCCCTCCAACAGCACCTGGACCGCCACCCCAAACATGCCCAGGCCAGCTCAAGGACAGGAGCTGATAGGGGATATCCCGGCACAGGGCAGCGCATCTCAGCCCCCAAAACAACCCTGAGACAGGCCCTCCACATTGGTACCGGTTTTGGCAATGAAGGGGATGACACTGCCACTGGTCCCCAAGCAGCACCGCACCCTGCAGATGGAGCAGGAGTGCCCTGCTTCACTGGGGGCACATTTGGGGTGGATGCCCAGAGGTCCCCGCAATGGGAGCAGCATCAGAGGGGTGGGAAAAGGAGGGAGTTTGGAGTGGGCAGGTGCCGGGGCAGTTACCTCTGAAGGCCTCGTCCAGGTCCTCCTTGCCAAAGACGACGTCAAGGTCATGCACAGCACATGTGTGGAACTGCACGCGGAAAATCACATCACGGGTCGGGCTGCGAAACTTCTTGTGGTAACACTTCAGCTGCGGAGGGTAGCGGGGACCGTCAGGACAAGCCCCCAGGGCTGGGCAAGGGGGAACCGGGGGGTCCTGATGCACAAGGACCACCCGTCCCCCGGCTGCTCCCCACCCAGGGGGCTGAGCCCAAGGCTCCTTACCAAGATATCGCCCTTGAGGAGCAAGCCAGGCTCGATGGTGATGCAGATGCCTGTCTGGCTGTCTCCTTGCACGTTGCTGCAGAGAGGGACGGTGGGAGGACGTGAGCTGTGGTGCAGAGCTCCCCCAGAGCTCCCAGCGCCGCCTCCACCAGCCCCTTACACCCAAACCCAGCCAGGAACGGTGCAAAGTACAGAGTTGGCCCTCCCGGTGACAGAGGAGGGTCCCATCCCCCACCCCAAGGGGCACCCATTCCCAGGTAGAGGAGGACAGGAGAGGGAAACCAAGGCACAGCTCAACGAGGATGATAAAAATCCTGGGTGGGAGGGTTTGACTGGGGTCCGAGCGCTGGGGCTGTGCTATCAGCCATCCACCCTGCTCCTGCGGGTCAAGTGGGGCACGGGACACGGAGGGAGAGCTCTCAAGGAAGGCTCTCCTCCCTGCCTCAGTTTCCCTGCCGGAAGCCCTCCCCTCCCCAGGGCGCCGGGGGGCTGCCTCCGGGCGGTGGCGTCGGCAGCGGGGGATGGGGGAAGAAGGGAGTTAGATTTCACAGGCAAGATAAACCTGGAGTTTATTACCAGCGTCCCATAAACAGTCTATTAAAAGCTGAAAGGCGAGGCTGGGATGGCAGTAAATCTCGGCTAATAGGGATGCCTGCTGTGGGGAAGGGAGATCCCAGTTCAGGGGGGTGAGATGGGAATACCCCCGAGGCGAGGGGCTTTGCTCCCTCCAGGGGGGCCAGGAGCCAGGGATGTGGCTGCAGCAGAGCATCAGGGCAGCTGGAGAAATTGGCTCTTGCTTTGCCTTCACCAACGCCTGCTTCCCAGGAGCAGTGTCGGAAAATGGTGTCGGGGTAAGTCATGGGGAGGTTAAAATGGGGGGAAAATCTTTTTGCGGGAGAGAAAGAGGGCTTTTGGGATGATTCCTGGCAGGAGGAGCAGCTCTTTGGGCAGGGAGAGGAGAAACACCTCCATCCCCCTGGGAGGTGCCCCCATCCCTGTCCCCGCTCCCTCCAGGGACACCCAGCCCCGGGCTCTGCACAGCCCCGGGCTCCCTCTGCTGATACACAGAGTCACTACAGCCCTCCCAGCAGAAGGGCCCAGTATGGCCCAGTACAGCCAGTTACCACCTCCAAGGAAAGGGGAGCCCCTTTGTTCAGTTCCCTGGACCCCAAACAGACTAAGCACAGGGCATCGGGACCACTAGGAACTTGGCCTTGACCCTCTCCATCTCCCCCCGCTTGCCAAACCTCCCGCGCTGGGGAGGAGGGAAGCCCCACAGTGAGGAGATAGTTACTAGATCCCCGAGGTGTAGACGGGCTGCATGGCCTGGTAGATTTTCAGGAAGGGACGACAACCTGGAAGACATCAAGGCGGGGAGAGAAGGCGCGCTGCTGTTAGCCGGCAGGGCGGAGGGGCCGGGGCAGGGATTAGTCACGGGGGAGAAATCCAAACAGGGAGGGAGCCAAGGCAAACAGCCGCTCCCCGCCCCAGCCGGCCCGCACCGGCCATGGGCAACATCTGGGATGGGCAGAAAGGGATGCTCCGGATGGGGTGGGAAAGGGGGAAAGCCCCTGTAGCCCAGTTTGGGTCCTGTAGAACCTGGGGCAAGCGCTGGGCTGGGGATGGAAGTGGGATGATGGTCTCTGAGCAAGGGACTGCTTCTGGGTACCAGCACTGGGCATGGTACTGCATCCCAAACCCCAACCCCAATCTGGTGCCATCCTCCAAAAAAGCCATTGGAAAAGGCTCATCACCCCGCAGCTTGTGTTAGTGCCCAGCCCCGGGAGCCCTGCACAGGGGGGGCACCCCCCGAGGGCATCTCTGCGGGAAAAGGGTAGCGCCTGGCTACAGTGAACAGTCACAGAGAGGGAAAGGGAAATTCAAGTTGCCGAGGAAATTGTGGAAAATATCCCCCGTGGAGAGCAAGCCTGGCCAGGCAGCATGGGGCAGTGGTGTGGGGGGGCGGGCCAGGCT